CGACATTGTTCGGCGTGTCGGACACCTAGAGGATAGAGGTTCACCTGCGGTAATCTGATGACGTTCCGCTAAAAGCAGGCTTCGGGGAGCCGGTGTGGACAAAAACGGGTCGCAGGCTCGAGTCCCCCTACACGGCGAGTTCTTACACCTTGACTTGAAACGCTGCTTTGTGCGGATCTATCTGGGTTTTGCTTGCACCGTGAGCAGCCTCCGGCCACTGGCAAACCTAAGTGGATTGCTTTTCGGATTCTAGGCTGCGTCACGCAAAGCAGGGCAATCCCTCCAAACGTCAGCTTGGAAAGTACTCTTTGCGCCCGCATGCAAAGGAAACCGCATGTTGGCAGACTGAGCCGGCTCTAAAGTTTAGAGAAACGGTTCCCCAAGCTTTCTCAGGGGGTTTCTCAAAGGGGATGCCTTTCTGGACCAAAAGGAAACCCCCTGGAGGGTTCCCCAGGTGCGCCCATGCGCCTCGTCTGCCGCCGGCTTGGCAGAGGCTTTCGAGGCTTTCGAGCCTTTCCGGCGTGCAGGAAAGGCTCGCTTATCAGGGGTCAGAACGGCTGATGCTTCTAGGGGTAACTTCCATTTCCATTCTTTCCAGGGATCCGAATCTTTCCAGAACACCACCAAAAACCCTGGGGAAGTGGCTGGTTTTTGGCTGGAAAGAATGGGGGAATCAGCCCCTAGAATACTCTTGTGACTACGCTGTTGACAATCATGGTACAAGACAAGAACGCGAGGAACCAAGGTAAGACCCGAAAAGGAAGGAGGCTTAAGATCGCGGCCATGGTGCCCGGAAATCTTAAGGCTCCTTCCTGTTCGGGTCATACCTTGGTTCCCGGCGTTCTTGTCTTGTACCATGAGTGTCGAGAGTAGTCACAAGTGCCCTTGGCTTGCATTCGCAAACGGGACAGACTTTGGACACGTCGGGCCATGATGGACATGGACTGGGCCAAATTGGGAGAAGAGCGGCGTGACTCCAAGCCCAAGTGTCTCACTTTCTGAGTGGATTTTTCGTCCAGACTTGTTGTTGACAAAAAACATGATCCTGCCAAACAAACATGAAGTCCAAAAGCTGGGTAAGCGAGTTGTACGGGCCCATCCATGTTTGTCCAGTCCGAAAATGCTTGTTTACCATGGGGCGGTTCCCTGAGCAATTCCTTGCTTGATATTCTGGCTTGCACACATCCCACTGAACTCACCAGGCTCAAGAAGCTTGAAGCTCACTGGCGCAAACGCGCACGGCTGACTCAGCTGAAGAAGGAACCGGGTCGGGCTAGCTTGGACTCAGGGCATAGATATGTGAGATGAAGACTGTGTACGAAACAAGGCATGCAGGACACAGTCATTGGCAATGATCAAATATATTTGTCTGACTTGTCTGAAGGACCTGAAAGTCAAAGGCTAAGCTTTTGCGCTGACTAATGGACCAACATGGGGAAACGAGCTCAGATCCGGTCGGTTTGAACCAGTGCGCTGTCTTCTGACTCCTGGCGTCTGCCCCGATGCCACGATGCCCGCCTGCAGCCTCCTCCTCCTGAACGTGCCGGAGCGGAGGTGACGCAAAACGGACTTCTGTTCCTTCCATTTGCCTTTGGCGTGAAGTCTAAGCGCTCCCCTTCTAAGCCGACTGAAATCATTGATCACCAAACCCGTCCTAAACATAGGTGACCTATTGGCCAAACAGATGGTACATGCTTTAGAAACCCAATCTTAGCCAATGGCACCCATGAATCTATTTCAAACAAGACTAACCGATCAAAGGGACACCTCTGGTGTCTTTCATGGAGCTTGGCCAGGAAACGCCTCCCTCGCAGGCCTCCGAGGAATAGCCTCCCACCAGCCTGGCACGTGTAAGTTCCCTCCAATGCCCGAGCTTTTGAAGACAAACCCTTCGACCCTTGAAACTCACTGCATCTAGGTTTTTCAGAGAGGCTAGAATAAGGGTACCAACTTTTTCTGTAGTCTATTTTTAGTAGGGGAACCCAAAATCCAAAAAGTTGGTAAGAAGGGCACCTAGCTGGGGGACCTGGTCATTTTGGGATGATTCGAATCCATCTCCTTGACTTTGCACCACTTCAAAGGTCGTCGCCTCCCTTGGCCCACAGCAAAATGGTTGCCAAACTTTTGTGGCCTCGCCAGCGGGAAACGCAACAAAAAACGGAGGGGAGGGGCACGCCCTGCGGTTTGCGTAGGAAAGACCTGCCAGGCAAAAAGGGGAGCAAGGTGGATTAAGAGAAAACACCCAACACAAAAGAACCGACTGGGTGTCAGGTTGATCTAAAACTTGGGAACACACACACACAAATGGACAACGGGAGGGGGGGGTGCGTGTAATGTACGGTAGACGATGTTGTGAATCACCATCACTTCCTTGTAACAGTCTAGTGCGTGTAACAGTGTAGCGTATGGCAGACGATGTTGTTAATAACTTTCACTTCCTTGTACCAATCTATAACCTTCACTTCCTTGTAACAATCTAGTGCGTGTAATGTACCGTAGACGATTTTGTGAATAACCTTCATGATGGTGGAAAATTATCTGCTACTCATATGTGGCATCCCGAAGTTGGACGTGAAGTGCAAAACATGAGGCCTGTGGCGAATGGGAGCCCGTGCTCAGTACGGCATGTGTATCCTGAAACGCAACCCCCAAAAACGGTCGGCTGCCTCTTGGTTTGCCATCTTGCTCCCTCAAAGGGGAACCTAGTTCACCAAACTTATCAAACTGCAAGTCAAAGAGGCAAATCTCGCCCCTGGTCTATTGGGGTTCACAACCGCCGAATTGGTTCGGGTTTTGATTCGCGGGAAAGAATCCCTGAGACTGGGAGGTCAAGGCTGATGGGTTTCCTGCTTATGCCATCCAGGAACAGGCTTGATTTGGTCCAGTGGGGGAAGGCAATTTTCTCATCCGCGGTATCTACATACCGGGTGCCACAAAACCACAATTCAAAGGAAACGTTTAGCTTTTCAATGCCAAGTCCATACATATGTATATATATATATATATATATGTATATTTCTCAACGCTGTCAAAGGGCAGATCCTGTCAAAGTGGCACGAAATTTGTTCCCTTTGTCCAAACAAGAGGTGGCAAAACAAATGATGGCCCTGGTAAATTTGCTTAGAAACCAAGTGTATACCAGTGCAACCCATCTATTTCTAACCAAACCAAAAGCAATCAAAAGGACAGCAATGGTCTCAACAAGATGCGCCCTTGGCCATGAGAGAAGAGGGGTGCATAGCTTCGGCTCACAGAAGATGAGGTCTGAATAGCTGACTGGCCTCCGACATAGCCGATCTTTGGATGGACTGTGCGCACCTCTGGGGGGGAATGACTTGATGTGCAAGTTGAAAACGAGTTTAAGGCTAAGGGACACCCTAGGCGGCTGCTAAGACCGGGGGTCCTGGTTGATCTTTCGAATGTGGCAAGGTCCATGCGTATCTGGAGCAAGGCACGGGCCAACCCACCCAACCACAGGTTTACACATTTAGATGGCCGAAATCCTGCACCACTTTCAAACCAAGGGAACCATTGTTTGTTGGTACAAACCATTGTTAGTATTTACAGGCCAATCATTCGAGGGTTTCTTAGGTGGTGTCCATCAGTATGGCTTGGCCGACGGGTTGTGTAAGGAACAAATGCCAACCCCCAGGACCAGAAGACTTCAGCAGCTAAAAGCACGCGGGCCGAACATGCCGGACAGGCCCCATGGCTGGACGAGGAGCTGTGGAATTGTGGCGCTGGGTTTTTCCGTTTTGCCACCTGGGTTGGCTTGTGGGTTGATCTCTCTAAGCATCATCCGGATACATCTGAAGTTCACCTTCGCGTTGCCGCTGACCTGTTTTGGGAATCGCTCCCCCCTATCTGCACTGTCACCTACGACTCAATCCGAAGACACCTCTGTCAGTGGCGGAGCGATTGACTATGACTTATTTGGGTTGGTCAAACTGATCGACTGTCCAAAGATCCACTTTTGCTGGATATAGTATTGTTGTTTTCCAAGTATCAAGTGTTGTTGCCCAGGCGAATTCAGGCTTAAAGACAAACATATCACAAGCTAACAGCTTAAAATAGAGGGCTGGGTCAGTCAAGGAGCAATCGAGCTATTTCGAGGGAATATCCCTGGGTTGCGGCTGATTTCCCGGCTTTTTTGCCGCTACTTTTTGCATTGCAATGCGTTCTTTGAGGCGCCAACATTCAGACCTTTGAGCCTCTCGCGAAGTGTCCAGAAGAAGCCACTCGCTTCTTGCACGTCGTGTTGCGGCAACTAATTACTTCACTTGGGCACACCACACAACCCAAAGAGCCATTTTTGACAGAGTCAGGGTTCCCCTTTGACCGATGTTGGGAAGCAACGGGACCCTTTACACAGGGTGTTCTGCGCTTTTAGGGGCTTCCTTTATGTTTCCAGGGGTTAGCTACCGTCCCACCAACAAACTTAGCTTGGTGCACAGTTGCTTTCGAGAATTCTAGAACACTAATTTCAGAACAGCACAGGTTCCCCTAAACACAGAAACACATCTACATTCATGGCATTTAAGCTTGGCGAGTCGGATTTTCAACCTGCCATCTGGACTTTGTGAATCCCCAAGCAAAAAGGCGTTTGATGAAAACAACAACAGATGAAAGTAAATCATATTCTAATTTTCTGAGTTTAAACAAAACGAAACCACGTTGAAACAACAACATGACATGCCCGTGTCATTATGGCTTCGTTTGAGGGAGATTTCAATACAGAAACCATGGGCACAAAATATGTGCTGCTGCCCTTTGGACGCTTTTAGACTTCCCCCTGCTCTTCTTGGTGCCCCATGTCCGAACACAAATCGACGATAAACTGCGGGACATTTCGCTTGAACATAACATGCAATTTTCCTCCATCCCTGTTTCCGGAGTGTGCACAAACAGCTGCAGACGAAACGCTATATTCGGATGAAGCACCTACAGGGGTGACTTGGATTTTGTCTGCTGCCCACGCGACAAACCGTTCTCCTTTTTGCGTTCGACCGAATCGTCGGGTCGACTCTCATGCGGCGCGACGCTCGCGCGCCATGACCTAGGGGCGGGTGCGACTCTCCCGGCAAAACAAAGGCCTGGGGATCTGGAAAAGTCAAACGATGACCCGGCTTCGTTCGTTTTCGTGTTGGGAAAGAACTAATAAATACGGATGGAATTAAATCCTTCCTTGGCCTGTCACAGTCGCTCCTGTCCTGAAAACTTGGAATCCACCTGCACCCCGTTCCCATGAGAGGTCATGCTACACTTCCCCTCGCCCGAATAATTACCCTCCTTCTAATGGAGGGCTAGAACGCTTGATTGGCAAACATCCCTCATTCCCCAGATGTTTCAAATTCAGCAGGCTCTAAGGCCGACATGCTGCCTTTCATGAATCATTCTAGAACGATTCCCTTGTGTCATAGAAGTAAAGTTGCCAAATGGCCACACCAAAGGTGGTTGAAACCAAATGGTGAAATTGACACAAGAGGTCCCCATTTTTTTTTCTGGAAACGCAATGCTATGTATTCTCTACTAGTAGGGTCTATCATGGTCTATCTTTCGACTTCGTAGTTGAAACTAAAAAGGGAACTCTCCACTTAGCTTAGGCACAGAAAGGCGTCCTATGTTCGCAGTTTGCACAGCCCTGCTTCAAATGACCGGGCTCGCGGCACTCTCTTCGAACCGGATGAGGATTGTGGTGCTGGTGCCTGGGATGAACGCAGGGAAACACTTGAGTGGATTGGAAGTCCACAATGCTGTGAACCCGAAACAGGCAGGCAGAATCTCTTATTCCAATTCCGAGAGGCGCTTGATGGGGAAACGCACCAAGTTGTGTTAGGGCCTCTCTCTTTTGTGGAAACACCGACATACAAGTCTAAGACGAGAGAAGCCTCAAAGTGGCTTGCCAAGGGTTCCGAGCCTCAAGAGGTGACACATATGCGCCATGGTAGGGTCCCATAACCGGCCCTAGGTGTTTTGATTGTTGACTGTTGCGCGGGGTGAGCCAAAGTGGGCTTGCTTTGCGGATAGTGAAATGCACAGCTAGCACGATATACCCCAAAACGAGTTGCCATGTCTTGCAGGGGAACCCACCACGAAGAAAGGAGCCTTGATGATCCTTGCAACACGCTCGGACCTGAGAAGAACAGGGTAGCCTGTTGGACCCATGACTAAAGATGGACAAAGGAAATCCAAAAGGTTCTAAGGTCGGCTTTGTGCAGTTGAGCTGTTCATTCTGTGAATTCACAGCGGGAAGGCGTAAAACATGCCTTCCACCGGGTGACAACACATCTCCACCCTGCCACAAAGCAAACATGTAGGAAAACCTGGCACCCAACCAGATCTCTTTGTCAACAGCTCCAAGTTTCCAAGAGATTCCAAAGAGAGGACATTCACTTGGCCCTTTTCCGAACCCAACCCCAGCCTCTTCCCGCGCCCAACCGGCCCAAGCGGCCAGCTCCACTGGCCCCACTGGCTGTCGAGGGGCCGCTGGGCTCCTCCACGGTGTGTGCCGTGGCACTGCCCGGGAACTCGGCGCTGCGGAGCATGCCTCGCCGCGCCGACGGCTCTCAGCCGTGCGGCCGGTGGCGAGCCGGGTTTTGGGTTTCGACCAGCGGCTTGGGAGATGAGAATGGGAATTCGGGGTGTGTCTTTTAGGCCCGAAAAACGAGTGGTTTTCCTTCTGGTGTCCCTTTAAAATCATGAAAAACATCAGGTACCCTCAAAGGACAGACCCATGTCCCTGCAGTTGACCCAGTTGTGGGAATCCTCCGAACAAGCAGGGAGCCGGGTGATGGAGGTGTTTTCCAAATTGGCCCGATCGGGGCAGAACCGCACATCCTGGCTTCCCTATGACCCAATACCAACTTGGTACCCTTCGAGTTTGGGCAATGTGTTCGATAGGTCTGGGTAAAGCACGGGACATTGGACAATAGTATCTCTGCAAGGCCTGGAATCAAACAACTTTTGCAGGCGATTCCCTGCAAACTCCAAGGCCCCTGACTGAGTCTTCCAAAGTCTGGGGAGTTCCCTCTGCCGAAGGCACTGATCAACTTCTGGCAGCACTAAATTGAAAATCCAGTGAAACCAATTGGTTGATGTGCTGCGAAATCCAGTGATCCCCACATTTACCGCATCCAGTCGTCATTTTGGAGCTAAGGGGAGCCTTTGGCACCTTTTTGTTTGAACGTGGCAGGAGCCGCAAACCACGCAAGCATGGGGGACCTTTAGGTGTCCTGCTAAACATAGAAGGCGCTGGCATATGTGGGAGCCGAATCGAAACCAGCCCAGGGAACCCAGGACTGACATCCCTTTCCCGGCCTTCAACCATGCCAGCCACGAACCTCAGCGAGGTTGGAGCTGCAAACAGCCCTGCCTGCCCTCCCAGCAGAAAAAGGCAAAAGGAACCACGGTCTGATGGGCTCCCGAAATCACTTTTTGCAACTGGGAAAATACATGTTCTCGCAGAGGACCACCGACCATGGAAGGTGCAACACAAAATAGGGATGGTAAAGGCCGGTGAGGCCCAGTAAATGCTTGGAAGTTGCACTTCTGAGCAAGCTTTAACAAGCACGCCTGCGCCCATACCAAGCAGCACGCCAGCAGCAAGGTGAAAGACAGGCAGCTACCCCCACAGAGCGTGCCGCTACTGGCCGAGTGACATGCCAGGGCAAACACGTGAATGCTTCTGAGCAAGCTCAAGAAGACAGTTCCCCGACAACAAATGATGTCACAACCCATCAGTCATGGTCACAGTTCCCTTAGTAAAACCCCTTACATTTACGATTGCAATCGAACTTGCTCACAAGGGTTCTGAGAACCTGTGAGGGGATCGAATGTCTCTCCTGCCGCAAGAACACTCCATTTATAATTAATTTCATTGATGGGGTCAAGAAAAAAACGCCTGCTTGGAAGCCGCAGATTCAGGGAACCCTGGACGTCTCATATGTGCAACCGACCATCGATTTGGGAGGACATGTGGGGACAAGCCAAATGTCCCACAGAGAAACAAGAGGACAACCCAGTGTTCCCATGTCCTCTTTGGGGAACAAGTGTGTTTTGTGTTTTCCCCAAAATAAGATCATGTGCCTTGGCGATCACACCTCGAGCACATACCACACAAAGCAGGAGATCCCCTACGGCCTAGATCGCGCTGAGGCTTGGGGCAAACCATCACCCCCACACCAACAAACCCATGCCAATAACGCAAACATGTACACACCCAATTTAAAAAAAAAACACCAACACCAACACGTAAACATACGAATCACCGGCCCCCCCCAAGAAAAGAAAGACTAACATACACATACATACGTTATATATATATATATATGGTGGTTGATCTAAATTCCTTTGTCTCGAAACGGCCATTCTTCGCGAATAAAAAAGTTACTTTCGCGAATCTTTCGCGGATTCATCGCCGTGCTCTTTTCATTTCTCGAGTCAGAGAATCGCAGCTTTTAAGTGCCAGCGTTGTGAGCGAAATGACGATTTCCCAACTCCAGCTGTAAAGTCGCAACTTTTCATCACAGGGGTAGTACATGACATGCGCCGGCTGGAAAGTCGCAGCTTTTCGTCCGCCGTGCAGCTCCAGCTTGAAGTCGCAGCTTTCCAGTACCAAGCTAGTATACTGACTAGGTCGGCGCTCAGACTATACCTCCCCTTGCAATCGAAGCCTGCGCTTTCGCGCGGGCTTTCGCGGATCTTTCGCGGAACTTTCGCGAAAAATCACCCACGTTTCAGAGCGGAAAGCCACCGACTAACACCCACAGACACACATACACAGGCTTGGAGCACTAACCAGCCAAGCAGGGTATCAAACTGCAGCCTCACCAGGCTTTATCAGCGCAACATCAACAAAGTGCTTTAATCAGAATAGAAGGAAGGCTCAGCAGAAAAGATGAACGGTTCCACATATCATGGATTTACCAGATACAGTTACGCAAAACTTGCGCGAGAAAAAAAGTTACTTTCGCAACTCCATCGCGAATCTTTCGCGGAGCTACCTCAACCAACACCGATGGTCACCGAATACTAAACTCCTTACAAGGACCTTTAGAACGACTCCCATATACACAAAACCTTTGCCTGGGCCCTTCGACGGCCAGGCCCTGCCCGAGGCCCCGGAGGTTTCCGAGGTGTCCGAGGCCCCGGGCGCGCCGCAGTTCACATCCCCCAGGTCCTTGGGCACGGAGATGAAGCGGTTCACCAGCAAGGCCTTGTCGTTGAGCATGTACCTCGCGGCCCACGCGATTTTGCGGCTCCGCGGTTCCGCGGTTCCGAGCGGTTTGGCGCGCAGCGGGTTGTTGTTGTTTTCTTTTCCTTGTTTTTTTCGGCCAGGGTGATAGGACGTGACCAATTCCGCGAATTCCGGAAAGACTCCGGGCGCTCTCGGTTCCAGGGAGACCTGATTAGAGGCCCATGCTATCAGGGCCGCTCAAGAATTCGAGCCGAGTTGTGGGTCACAAAATCTGCCGTGATAGCACAGGAAAGTAGCACGCAACATTTGTCCACCACACGGGAGCCAAACGGCAGCGCTGGCTCCCATTTGCGATCAACAAAACTTATCCTCTCTTTCGTGACCGGACGAAACAGGGCAGCCTCCCAGTGCCCTAACCAACCCGAGGATGCGCAAGCGCACTCGTTCTCGTGGTCTTGGCCTGGACATTGGCCCAGCCCGGTCCCCCAAGAGGAGATTCCGATTTAACGGGTGTGTTTCGTGGCTTCCACGCAACAAAATGGCAGAGTAAAGTCAAAGGAAACTGTTTACGGTTGGTAGCTTAGAGTTACCCTGAAAGTTCGAAGGTCCGCGAACTCAGCAATTTTGTTGGACATTCGCCTGAACAGCCACAAGAAACATATTGAAGAGAAGGCTCCAGCGTTGGAAGGGCTACCATTGCTCTAAGCAGAGCGCTTTGCTTTTTGCCGAAGGGGCTCTGTACCACATGGGTCCTTCAACCTCCAAGAGCAGTTGAACTTAACGGAAGCTCAGCGCAAAGCCGCATAAAACTCAGCAAGGCAAAAAAACACGTATGCTCTCAAGGAACCAGGTTTGTGGCAGATGAAACGCGTTAGATCACTGTCATTGTCCAAATCTTTGTTTCGACGGTAACTGAATCTCCAAGTGATACTGTCCATAGGTCCCTGGACCAAGACCTAGGGATTCTCCTGCAACCCAACCCTCAGATTCGGTCGACACAGGAAACAACACACTGATTTGTTGCAAGGTTCTCTTTAAAAGAAAAGCCGCCTCTTCCCTGGTCTTCCCGAGGGACAAGCTTAGAATCCAAAGTGAACCCCAATTTTTTCGCGTGGGGGAAAGGAGTTGTCTTTGCAATGAGAAAGCCTCAAAAGGACAACCCTGGCAAATGCAAGAAGCTGATCGCTGGACCAGTGACCTCTCGAAAACTTTAAAGCCGCTTTGGAGCCGCCATTCCTGTCGTTCGGACAAGGCCTATAATGCCATATTGTTAAAGAACTAGCGGACGAGCAATCGCCTTGTCCTTTGATGTGAGTTCATTGAGCAACGGAGCAGCGTTACTCCTCAAATCCCATGGCTTCTCAAAGCCCCAAGTGGTTGCACGGGTTTGTCTCAAAAGGGACCGACCCCCCCAAAGTGGTTGCTCTGAACACGTAGTCGCAAGCTGGGGTCTGTCAACACCCCTAACCTTCAGCTTCCTACTATTTGCTGCCTTGGATTGGTTTGCTTCGTGGTTGGCCTTCGGATATCTTAACTGAGTCCTTTAGAGAGGTCAGAATAAGGGTACCCATTTTCTTTTCTGTGGTCTATTTTAGTGGGGGAACCCTCCCAACCAAAAAAGAAACGGGTGAGAGGTCGGGCACCAATTGCCGGGGGACCGAGCAAAACACCACCCCCGATCCACGCGTCATCGCCGCGGGCCGTCGAGGCCTTTCAGCAGCTCTGCTGAGTGGCCGAAGAGCGCCTTCCTCGGGGCGCCCCGAGTTTCTCCAGGGAGACTCACCGAACCATGGACCAAGAAGCGGGAGGGGGGAAGGGATGCGAAGAAGAAGGTGATGTCTGAAACCACCCCAAGGGAAATATCGGGACCCCTGTTCCTTAAGGCACTGAAACCAAACCTGCGGAGCTGGGGAAAAGGGATGCGAAGGCCCATGACATATCTGTGCTTTGTTTTACTTTAGAGTTTGAATGGGGCTCCTTTCAAATACGTGCTCAATTGAGATCCAATTAGAATTGAAATGGAACTCCATAAAGAAGATACATATTCAATAAGATTTCCCATCTTTAATTGGAACTTGAATAGACATTCCTTTCCAAAGGAGTTCGAACAATTGATCAGAATCACCACATGTTTAAAATTACACAACTCAAGTCTACTGCTTATCTTAAGCTAAAGGTTCAAATAGGAGTTTCTTGCCAAATATGATTTTAAATGAACTTTGACAAGATATTTAAAATGGAGTTCAATAAGGAAAGTAAATGAAGTTGGTTCTTCTAAGCGGCCATTGGCCTGCCTCTTAAACATCATGAAAGACTATCAGAAATTCAAGGAGCATGCAGCTTGCTTCAGTTCTATTCATTTAGGATAAACAAGCTAACACAATTGTTTCCTTACTTAAGTACAATTAAACACAAATTCAGATAGTAAGCATCGGATTTGGACAGATGCTCATGGTCAAATTCGGAGTCAAGGTAGACATCCCAATTGCCCAATGTCCTGATTTTTGGAGCTGTTTTGACCACTCGAGGTTTTTACACTTTCCCCTTGAACATTCAAACCACACCTTGAGCTTTCAAAACACAAGCACAGCTCACTGGAGCCATGGGTCTGGCCTGGCATTTGATTTTGTGGACAACTCAAGGTGATTTTTTTGCGGCTTTTGAAAAAAACGCAGGGGGAGCTTGTCTTTTTCTGGGTTTGGCTGGAACCGGTTTAAGCGACGTGCAAACCAGGGTGCTTGCACGGTAGAAAACATTGCCAGACAAGATGTGGCCGGACTTGGGCCCCCTGCCAAAAGATATCTGGTTGCTTCAAATGGAAACCACACGTCTGGCAAAGGGGCGTTGGGCAAAACGCGGGCGCTTGCCGCTTGCGACTTGCAGCTGAGCTTCCAAATGGAGGAGGCGACGAAGTTCAGCATGGGCAGAAGCCTTGAACAAAGCAGCGGATTTCGAAAGGCGAATCCCCGAGGAGAACAGGACGCTCGTTATTTGGTTGCCCCGCAGCAAATTGAGCACGGACTCCTTTTGCCCCAGGGTGGTTCCACGTTGAGTCGGGTCGCCAAGGGGTCTTTCAGTTTTGGAAGCACCCGCCTGGGGAACCCAAATGAGAGCCTCCAAGAACATCCTTCAACAGGCTTGTATGTAAGGTGCCAGAAGCCGTGAAGGGACCTCACTGGAGAGGCTTGTGAGCAGCCTTGTTCAGCAGCAGCAACCCCATTCCAAATGCTCACATTAAATCTGAAAGGGCCTTCCTTGAATGACTGAAATTGAACAAGGACCCCCTTGGTTTGTGTCCAAAGGAGTCAAACGTCGCCATCCATGTTGAGGAGGCCAATTCATACAGAAAGAAGTCACAATCGAGAACACTTTGGGGGACCCCTCTTTTTGATTCTGTCGACCCACACACGTTTCACGGGCCAAATGTTCACCTTCAACCTCAGCCGGATTTGGCTGGGCCATCAATCAATTTCTTGGGGGCTTGGCGGGGAGGGGGGAGCCTGGGGCCAGGTTGTGAATCGCGTTCCTAAGGGCCACTCAGCTTGACGTGGCTTTTTGATTGACGTCTTTCCACCTCGAAGACGAAGGTAGATGCAGGCTTTTGACAAGAGTTCCTCAGTCGGTCCTTGATGCTACCATCGTTGAGGTTGAAGTCAACGGCCAATGTTGCATGCTTGTTCTCGGAATGGTCAATGCACCTCAATATTTGTTTCACAGCCCGCCAGCAAATGCATTCGCTGACATTGTTATCTGAGTCGCTCTAATCATCTAAGCATCTAACCAGCCGCCAATGGGGTCCCACATGGCCATGGGTGGGTATACGAGACCGTAAACCAGCTTTTGACAAGAGCTATTTCTTGGCAAATTGAGAGAAGGAACCCCAAAAAGGCGTCCTTCCCCCCACAGCATCCACAGTTGAATGGAAACGTCATTTTTGGATAACCAGCCACCACGCAACCAAGAGCAACTATGATTCCAGCAAAACGACTTTTGTAGACATTCTTATTCTCAAGAATCTCAAGTTGTAGCCAAGTATTTGCACAATGATATGCTTCTTCATTATAATGTGTTGATGGCATCTGACCAGGATGCAGAAGCTCCGCGTCTAATATACTAGAACAGGTGCACCTTTTTAAGTGTCGAATTGCTTAGTGTTGTTCAACCACACATAATGCATAAAATCATCAAGCCCCAGATGAAGAAGCACCATAGTAACATGCAACTTCCGTGACAAGTAGGGGGAACAAAAACTGAAGGCCACCAAATTCCTGCACTTGATTCAATTGCTGGCCTACGTACTGGGCCAGTGATGGGGGGGGGGCTTTTTTGGCCGACCCAACCCCTTTCTTGTACTTGTCCCAAGTTCCGCTCCATTAGATGAAGAGATTCCAGAACAAATGCGCCTAAGAGGTATATATTTTTTAAACTAGAATTCTGGCTTCATAACTTAATCGGTGTCACCATGATCGTTGGAATGTAGCAACCACACGACACTTGCCTGTAAGTCCTGCGTGTTTTTGCGCACTGCGAACTAGGGGCCTGTGTAGCGTCCCTTTCTGACAAGAAAAGGGGTTCCCTTTGGATTTCCTTTCGAACCACTATGGAAAAGAATAGAGACTCCATTCAACACCGACGTCATCATGTTTGAATTTGGACACGTCGGACAAGGGGGGCGTCCTCTCGTTGTTTGTTCGGTTTCGTTATTCATCCAGACATCCTCGCGAAGATAAATCCAGTGGCCAAGGGAATCTCAACCACGCAATGTCCTAAATTGGAGGACCCATATTTGGGGGTCGACTATTCCAGGCACCACCCAGGTCAAATCTGCCCCTGTCATAGAAACCAGCTTTTGGACAGTTCCACGGGAACCTGCCGAATGCTCTGCCAAAAGCAAGCGGACTCCAGCGGACTTTTGGCCGGACTCTCACCCCAATACGCGCCTGGTCTCGCGGCGATTGCGGTTCTCCCTGTGGGCGTAGAGTTCCAAGACCTCGAAGCGATTGCTGAACCGAATGCTGAACCGGTTTTTCATGAGCCTGGCTGATGAAGCTTCCCCAACCTTGTGATTCCTCAACCTGAAGACTGAGCTAGACTGGCCCTTTGACCACTACGTCCTCCAGTAAAGAGGTTAGAATAAGGGTACCCTTTTTGCTGGTAGTCTATTTTAGTAGGGGAACCCTCCCCCAAAAAAGTTGGTAAACGGGCACTACTGGGGGACCTGGACCATGGCAAAGGTGCACTGTGCGGCTCTTTTGAAGGCGTCTTTGGATTCAATCCTGAACCTACCTGGCCTTTCATGAGCCTGGCTGATGAATTGGGTGTCCCCAACATACTGAAGGACCTATAACGCTGATTGCCCCCCCCCCCCCCCGTTGAAACTGGATTGCCCGAGCAAGAGTCTTAGAGGGAGGCTATCTGGGTGTCGCAGGAAGACCTGTGGCACCCACCCTTGAGCTCACATGAGCCCGGAATCCTCGGGCGACTGCGCTGAAAAGGGATATCTGGGGTTTTGAACAACCCACAAATCTTGTGACCTTGACCAACAAAAGGGGATCGAATCAACGTTGCTTTTTGAGTTATAGAAACCTCGAGATCTTTGTGGGTTTGTGGGGACCCTGATTTTCAGCAGACCATTTTCGTGCAGCAGGTAAACATGTAAGTAAAGAAAACAAGCCACGTGCAATCCACAAATGCTGATTTGGCAATACTGAATACTAGCCTTGTTGTTGCACCATTCAAACTTTGACACTCCAAAGTAGTAGGTCAAAGGGCACAAGATGCTGAGAACTCTATTTGCAAGTTCCCCAGCAAACCTCCAGGAGACACTTTAGATCCAAAAATGAATTAAAGCTGTTCCCTCTTTGGTACTCTTCTGGTACTCTCCAAGAAACCGACTCTGCGTCGGGAACGGGCACCCGCCAATTGGACACGGGGCCAATGGCTTCCGTGACACTGGTCCCAGACATTGGGCTCAGGGACTTTCCAGCCGGTCACAAAGTCGGGTCGGGTCGCTCTGATGTGTTCAGATTCCAGGAGCATTTGTGTGGAAATAGGGAAGCCGG